TATCACTGTGCAAAATTTCACTGAATGTTGGTGACCTTTGCAACACTTGAATGAAAGACRTTATTAAATGTAAAATAWAAATATAATAAATATAAATAAAATATAAAATGTCTCCTTTGAGAAGTATCCTCATGATAAGCACACCATTCTGTGAGTCATCCTAGAAGGCAAAAGTCATACTCCTGTATGTATTGTTTAACATAGGTAAAGCTGAGATCTGGAGAGTCAGGKGATGCCAGGCAGTCACAATTTCCACTCATTTGATACCAATGGGTGTCTCTTTAATATGTTAACACTTTCTAAAACAAGTCATGGAGAATTATCCTACATCATCAAAACATTGCCATTTATAATTCACCTATTATCAATGCCCTTTTCCATTGCAGTTCCTAATTATCTGAATTTGACACTGATTAAGTATGTTCATGACTTAGAAGCTGAAATAAGGCAGTATGTTAGAGGAAGATAACAGAACTTGCTTTGGTGAGAATACAGTGCTCTTTTCTAAATATGCCCTTTAAACAAAAAGTTAATTCTGGAAAGAAGTACATAATTATGTTCATTATCTTCTTTCTTGGTAAGGTAATAAGTTGCCAAAGTCTGTTTTTTGTGTTGGATATCTGCTGGCCTGCTGACTGTGGCTGAGCAAGCTTTGGATCCTGCTTTTTTTTTTAAATTTGATCTTGTGAGCTTGTTCAGTGCTGTTTTTGTATAAATGCCTGTTACATCACTGTTCTGGCAAAATTATGCATTGTCTTGTGTCCATTCTGGTATTAGARTTTGGTTTCTGTTATGAACTCTTCATGACATTTAGCATACATTGAAGGAACAGAATGGATGTAAATTCTGATTTTTAAAATTTTTTTTTTGTTAGGGTGGATGATAAACCCTGTGTTGTTCACACATGGCTTGGCAYTTGTTTTTTGTGATTTGAATAATGCCTCTCATTTTTGATATTTTACTGATGGCTTTTGATTTCATATTGAAGAGGTCTGAAATATTGGCTTATGGAGATCTAGCAGCAGCATACTGTAAGCTAACATCATCTTAGTTCAGATTAATTCCTTCATCTTTTGCCCCTTGTACTTCATATACTCAGGTCATAGAAGATGAGATAGAAATGCAGTTTGGAGAGAACTCAGTCTTATTTTTAGTCCTCTGTAAAGGTCAAGGGTCCTTCTTGTCTTTATTTTTTATATTAAATGCACTGGGTTTATTTATTTTTTTAAGGCAGCCATATTAAGTGCTGTCCGATTTACAATATAGGTATTTTTGTAAATATGAAATCATCCCTGATGGTTCTGCCAGAAGCAGCAGTGTCAGGGTGCCTGACACATGTCTGTATTTCAGCCTCTGGGCCAGGGGAAACAACTTTACACCACATGATGTGACAAAGTTTAATGTCCCCCAAACAACTGTTGGCTCCTGGGTGTTTGGAAAATCCCAGTGACATGGGATATTCATATTCATCTGAAAAGTATGCACACACTTTTCTTTACAGACTATGGAAAAATTACATTGTAGCACTGGGCTTCAAGACTTCAAGCCTAATTTACCATCTTGAGGACTATTAGCAAGTTGGAAAACCACGGTGTAAAAATGCTTTCACATAAAAATGACAGACTAACATTTTTCTTGTGGAAATCGCATTATGAAACTGCTATTTCTACGCTGATTGATTCAATATGATAGATTAGATTTCTGGACATTAGGAAGACAACTCTCATCAGACTTTGTGAATAAACTGATTAAGTTTAAAGTAGCTGTTTTYTTCTTGTCAAAAATCCATTGTAATGTCTTTTAAATTATGCAAAAYAGAGGCAAATAAATATATATATAGTAGCTCTTGCTATTTCTTCCTCGGTTAAAATGGTGTGTATAGGTGATTTATCATTTTCAAAGCAATGTGTTGTGATAGCAGAAGGGATGATCCTATCTGGAGTATAACTTAATAGGTCCACCATGATAAAATGTGGATTTAATTGTAATGATATATTCCTAAGAATGCAATAAGAAACAAACAAAATGCAATTTCTAAGCATGATCATCTAGAGAATAATTCTTCAAGAAGAACAGTAAGAACTTTTGTTTTACGTATCTCCTTTAATTTAATACAGYCCCTTGAAACTGAACAGGTACCAGCAGAATCCTGGGTCTCAAGGGAGGAGAAAAGGGAGAAAAAGAACAGGTGGTTCTTTTCAGAAGGAAATTGCTGATTTTAGGACAAGACCAAAAGAAAACAAGATTTCTTACAAAAGASACTGAACATCCATTTCCAAGGGTGCACCAACATATCTGTTGTCAGTCATAGCCATGTGTAGATACTGTCTATGAGCTGGGTGTGCAGCACACAGAGATGTRTATTTGACAACTTTCTGCTGATTTATCGTTTCAGTCTGTGAAATTCAGCTCTCTCAGAGGTTAAAAAGGTATAATTGAGAAGCTGATCTGGTGATTCTCGTTTGTGCTTATTAAGAAGTGGCAAGGAAGTTGCAGATGGCTTAGCTGAGGAATGCAGTGGTTGAGGTCACTGGCTGGTTAGCAAGTGGATTAAAGGAAAAACCACTTCACTGACTGGCAAAGGCAGAGGTGACAATTTTCCAGAGTCAAGTAGGAATGAGGTGTCTCCAGAAGTCTGTATTCACTCCTCATCTGTTTTTCATTCTACAAGAAGAAATGAGAATACTTCTGATCTAGTGTTGATTTTTGGTCATGTTACATTCTTATTTTGAAAGCCGATAGCAGGGAGAAAGATAATTAAGAATAATACTTAGCTGTTCTAAGGATTTTRCATCTATCAACAACAAATCCCTCTGATGTTATTGTTGACATTTTACATTGAAAAAGTCACCCAGAGAAAAGTGGAATGACCTGGTGGAGGAGTCCCAGAGACAGGAACTGAACACTGCCCCGATTTCTTAAGACAGGGTTAGTAATTGAGATGCCAATTACTGCAGAAATGAGTAGTAACATTGTTTAAGGAACCAGGTGAAAGGTAGGGAATAGCAGAAGACACCTGCCATCGACTGTACTGGGCATTGAGTGCGTCAGAAGAGATGACCTGTTATAAAACACAATCCACACATGTGAAAATGGCTGAAAAGCAACACTTCAGTTCTGCACCTTCAGGCAGTTCTAATCCTGAATATCTGTTATTTGAAGCTAACTTTGATACACAGGGCAAACAGATAATGAGGACTGCAGGATTAACAACTCTAGATAAAGGAGTAAGGAAAAAATAAGAACATAAATATGGATTTGAGAGTTTTTGAGATTTTAAACAAACATGAAGATTTCAAAAGGTAGTGACATTATGCTACATTTTTAGATAGCAATTTGATATTATAATGTGTTGCAGGGTTTTGACAGCCTGAGTTTTGACTTGTTTACAAGACAGTTTTTGCCTATGCTTTTATTTYACATAGTTTCACTCACCTCACATTCTAGCAAAATATAAATTCTCCATGTCAAAGAGTGRGTAAAGACATTTGAGCTTTATACCCATTTCTTTATGCTTAGCTCCTACAGAGCACAGTGAAATACATTTCAGGGAAAAAATATTGTTCAAGATCTACTTTTACAAAGGTGTTTGTGTCAGACTCTGTTGTCCCGAAATGATGTAATACCCTGGAAGCAAAATCATAGAAGACAAGCTATTAAATAGGGTGACTGGACAATGATTTCAGTAAATGACAAAAATCAAAGTATATGTTTAGCCCGTTCTGCTTTGTCCTGTCAGTTTGAGGCCAGAATGATGCGACACTATGTGTTTCAGTCTGACCTGCTACATAACCGTGGCCATTACATTTTCCCTGTTGTAAGTCCAACTTCTTTATTGGGATACTGTATTTATCAGTTATTTATACAGTATTTATGTTATTTTCCACAGAGGTATCTTGCATTTTTAGGAGAATTMCAAAGAATAAAATGCAGCTTCCCTCCGCACTTTGTGCCGATGATTATTCACTCCCACTGATAACATTTCTAATTTGAATTTACTCAGCTTCAGCTTCCAGACGTTGACTCTGTTATTCATTTCCACTACAAGATGGAAGGGCCTATTAGTTTGTGATATTTTACCCTACGAAGGTAGGGTAAAATATCACATAAAGCTTTATCAAATTGCACGTCTTTTTGTGGCATGGTATGTGGTCCAACCTTTATTTATACAACCCTTAAGTCAGCTTTGTGGCTCATCACTTCATCCTCCTGTTTTTCAGACGTGCCAGCCATGTAGCCAGCATCCCATGGCTGAAATAAATTTAATCCCATGGATGAAATAAACTGCCATCTCATATTTTATGTAGAGGCTGGGCAACMGGTTGTTCATGCGTCCAGCGTGTGCTTTATTTACATTGCATGTCCCTTTTAATCCAAGTGAAATTGAAGTTGTGTCAAGGGAGGTTTAGGCTGGGTATCAGGAAAAGGTTTTTCACCCAGAGGGTGGTTGGGCACTGGAACAGGCTCCTCGGGAAGTGGTCACAGCACCGAGCGTGACAGAGCTCAAGAGGCGTTTGGACAATGCTYTCAGGTACATGGTGTGACTCTTGGTGACGGTGCTGACTTAGACTCGATGATCCTWGAGGGTCCCTTCCACCTCGGAATATTCCGTGATTCTCTGAACGATTTACCAAGTCTTCTTGGCATCTGCAGGGCGACAACAAAAGCGTTTTCACTGATGAGCAGGCGGGGAGCAGCGCCCCACATCCCGCCGCCCGGGGACACCCGCGGGGATGCACGGAGCGCCGCGGCCGTGTAACAAACATCCCGGCCGGGGGGCAAACGGGGACATCCCGGTGGCTGGGGCCGAGCTGGGCGCTGCGAGAAGGCGGGAGGCGGGCGGGGAGGAGGCGGCGGGGCGGTGCCGGCCGGCGGGGCAGCCCCGGGGAGGGAGGGAGGGAGGGGTGCGGGGGTGTGACCGCCGGTGTGGCCGGTGTGCAGCGCCGCCTCCCGCCGGSTCCCCTCCCTCTCTGTCTCTGTCTGTGCCTGCCCCTCGCAGGCGGGAGACGGCGCGGAGGGAGCGTGCGGTGCCGTGCAGCCCCTGGCCCCTCAGAGCCGAGCCGAGCCCCCGCGCCATGCCGGCCGCCGCGCCGYCCCCGCTCCACCCCGCGGCGGGAGCCTGCTGCCACTGCCAGGGTGAGTGCCCCTGCTCCGGTCCCTTCCCCCGGCCCCTTCCCGCGGGCCCCGCACCCCGGGACCCTGCTCCCWCAGGTCGCCAGCCGGGGGGCTCGTTTGGGGAGGACGGGGCGAGCTGGCGGCGCCGCGCCCCGGCTGAGGGGGAGTGGGGCGGCTCCGGCGGCTGCGAAAGTTCCTGCCCAGGTCCTTGCGTGTCCGCGGGGAGCGGGGGAACCTTTCGGTGGCGTTTGGGCTGGAGACTGAACAGAGGAAGGTGCCGTGCCTCTCGGCTGTGGGTCGTCGAAGGTGCGGAGTTGGGATGGTTATTTCTCCGCGCTCATTTAATTACCTGTATTTTGGATTAAAAGAGAGCTTCCTCGCCCCCGCGTTTGGTATCGTAGTGGAGACAAGTGAAGTGGATTCGTYGGGAAGCGGAGCAAGGGGCTGCTATTGATTTTGTCTCATTTTGTTCCTGCTGCTGGGTGCGGGTAGCGCCGTCTGTGCCGCTTTCCGAGGCTGAGGCACCCCGCRGCAGCCGTGCGAGTACCGGGGCACGATTTGAAGTGTGAGTGCGAAGTCAGCGTTTGSCGTTCCAAAAGGCACGTACGGGTGTCATCTGTAGTGCCATAAAATTTGAAGATTTTGAAGTAACTTGCGCTCTTAATAGTCAGCATGAGTGTACTTCACTTGGAACGAATGCTTGTGGGCTGCTCAGAGCACACTGATGCGCTGCAAAAAAAAAGTAGATGGCGTGCAGTGTAAGGGTTTTAAGCCATTGCCCAAATGTATTTTAAAACACACTTGAGGCCGGTGAATCTTCCCTCAGCTGGGAAATCGCTCGTGTTACGGGCAGGGACTCAAGGGGTGCAGGGGCTCTTGTGTCACATGGGGATGCTGTGACATGAGGTGGCCAGACCTCTCTCTGGAAAACTGCTGGCTGTGTCCTTGCATCCCCTGACTCCTGTAGTTGTATCACTTGTGTTTGTTCCTATTTAATAACTGAGCAGATATTTATAGGAAAACTACTCCATAACTTTTCACAGTGCAGCATTATTTTCTGCCTTCCTCAGGGTACATTCAGTATGCAATGTCAGCAGGACTGGACRGGCTACTGGTTTGAGCTAATGGGGTGATTTTCAGGTTGTGAGACACTGGCTTTGGAAACAGCCCCATAAACTGAAACTTTTGCTACACCAAATACTAAAAGGTTTTCTTTAAAAAAAGAACAAACCCCTAACCAACAAAAAAAGAAAATCAACCCCTTTCAATGGCATAAAAAGTTTATAGCTCCTTTCTCTCTAGATTGAAACCTATCCTGTGCCCTGTGTGAGGGTAAAGAGTTTATCCCCAAACCTGATTGTTGTGCATGCTTTTGATACTAACTTTATAGAGAAATGAAAATGTGCATATCTGCAGGTTTGCATGTAAGTTTGTCTTCCCACCTCCTTGTTTCATTTTCCTTTAGCTACCCTTTTTATCATGACGCTTCTTGTGTTTTTTTATATCATCTGAATGCAGTTTTGACATTTTGAAATGTTGAGAACGCAGCAGACTCCCAAAACAGTCAGCAAGTGAAACGAAGCTTATTACAACTGCTTTATGTCGTAGAAGTGCGGTTATTAGAGCAACTGAGTCATGCTCTTCTGAAGAGGTGACTGCATTTTATATCTCAGGAAGCCCCCCTTCACTCTCCGATKAAACTGATCCTGCTGAGTTAGTCTCTTTCTTGAGGTGTGATGGGTGTGGATCTTCTGAAATAGCATGACCTTTCCCACGAAATTTTTGTAGGATGTTCAGGCACATTTGCTGAGACTTAGCGTCTGATAAATCTCCATCTGTGGCTTATTAACCCGAATTGGCTAATTGGACTTAAACTGCCAGCACAGATATCTTGGTTTAATTCAAGTTAGTGGCAGCTGTTCAAGCCTCTGAATTTGAGCTGTGCTAAAGTTACCGTGCCTTTATTGCTTTTTTTAATACTCAAGYTAATCACCTTGGACACAGTAGCCTGACTTTTGAATGTGTCTTTATCTGGTGGTGTCACTACATGCTTTGTATCTGCTTTCACTGCTGCTTTTTCTGATCATGTTCCGCAAAGTGTCTCAATTTTGGCATCAGCTGGACTTACAGTGTGTGGTGACTAAGGGAAGTTGTGTGGGATTCATTTCCCCATTTCTAAGATTACCTAGCTTAGTTTGTTTTCTGCAGAAACATCTATAGTTTTGTAAAAATAAGGGAAGTTTGTGTTCCTTCCTTCTTTTCCAACAGCTCTAGGGTGAATTGAGTTGGTTTCTGTCACTGATTTTCTCATTTCATTTAACTTGATGATTCCTTGACATTTAACAACATTTGGAATTAGTGTCGTATAGATTTTCTTGTAAATATAATTAGAATCTTTCTTGTAAATATAATTAGAATCAGAACAGTATGCTGATTTTAACAGCCTCTGTTAGATCTGATCCAGACCTTACTGAAGCTAATGTGAATCTTTTAATTAGCTTCAGTGCAGCTTGGATTGGAGCTCAAAATGTGGTAGTTGAAGAGGTGAGTGTGACATTTCTCTTTGTAACAGTATACTGTTTTCCATCTTTTTCTAAATTTCAGGGTATGGGGTCTGTCCTTTTGGAGTGTTCACCAGACATGAGAAACAATAACACAAGAGTAGGAGCTACTGCCTTGATTGATTCTAATGTCAACTTGGAGTTTGGTAATGCTTGCACATTGTCCATCTTACCTAGCAGTAGTTGGCTTTCACTGCAAATGAAAGTCTGGCGTGTTTACCATCTTCTCTCTGTTGCTAGCATTGCTTACTCAGTCTAATTATTATAAGAATGCAAAACAATTATGCCATRTATTCGTGGAGGAAGCTCTCAGCAGACATTCTGAAAACACCATCTCCCACTCCATCAATAAATAGTGATAGCCTGGATGTATTCTCCAGGTTTTAGTTTTCCCATCACCCCAAATAATGTAGTTAATGGAAATGYTGAGAAATGTCTGGTGGCGTGAAAATCAYRATCTTTCTACTTGTCATCATGCTTTTGAGTCTAATTAGCACTGGCTTACAGTTTTCCCTGAGAAGCCCATTTTCTTTTATAAGTTCTGTGAAACAATTTATTTTACAGTGTTGTCTTTAATATACGAGTCTCTTCTGAAAAAGTGCTTCTGTAATTATGGGGTTGGGGATTCTACTTCTGTTATGTGAGTTAGCATCTCTTAAATGTGTTATATTTACTAAGAAAACTTCTCTGTGATTTCCCCTTTTGCAAACCAGATGGAGAATCAGACTCTGGCTGGGTCTTTCCTTAGGTTATGCAACGAAGTTATTGGTAATAAAGGATCTGGAAGCTTAATTAAACTCTCAGTGACACCTCTGCASGCTCTTTTATTTTCACTAGGTTTGCTCGGTTGCAACTGATTAGTCATCAAGTTGAGATTTAGGAAGCAATGCAAATAAAGTCTCCCACAAGGAGTAACAGAATCCTGCTCCTTTGACTGAGGCATTGTTGGCTAACAGGGCTAAAAAGCAGTTGAAAGCTTACTTTGTAATGGAACATGAATAATTAATTTGAAATACATGGTACTTCAGGAGACAAGAGCATTAACGYGAAAGTGAAACTCCCTGTACTGTGAGCCTTGAGAAACATGTGGAGGGCTYTGCCAGATGGATTCTGGCAAATGCCAGAGTTGTGTAAGATGTTTTTGTTTCCCTCTGTCAGCTCTGTCCCTCTCCTGGAAGATCCTTGATGGAAGGTCCTGGACTGCAGAGCTGACTTCTCTGGTTACTGGGACAGACCCTAAAGCAGTCGAACTGCAGCCATGGCTGCTCCCAATGTAATACACACAGCCTGTCATCTTTGAAAGAAATTAAATAAATGAGCAGTTTCATAATATTCTTTTTTTGGTTTTATGCAACTTAAACCAAGCCTCACACCTCCAAAGGCACTGATTCATTTCACGTGCAGTCTTAAATTTCACATAGTTCTTTACAGATTATGCATCTGTATACTTTTCTATAAGACTTTTCTTTATGCTTGCTTTTAAATTTGCTACCCTTAAAATGTCAGAAAGAAGATAATGAAAGTGGGGTTCTGCTCTAAAAAAAAAAGTAAAAATTATGGCACTTGTGAGTCATTACCAGTCTCCATGAAATCTTTATCTTCATCTGCTGCTCTGGGTGTGATTCAGCTCAGTTTAACACTAACACATGGCAGTAACCATCTGTGTTTGCTGTAAATATTTTATTTTTTAATTACAAATGGCTTGATTTAGAAAACCTGAAATTCTATAGTGGGGTGGTTGTGGGCCTTCAGAGGAAGGAGATGAGCACCTGGGAAGGTAATTTTTGCCCAACCACTGTTGCCAGGTTGGAAAGGGGAGTGTAACACAGAGAGCAAAGCAGGCTGCCCTGCAGGAATCCAGACCCTGTTGCTCCCTTCTTGGAGGAGCTGGGCAGGAGGGCACCAGCACAGACAAAGGGGCTCTGAACATTTAGTGAAGGAGAAGGGGRTGGGGGGAAAAAGGCAAAGAAAACTCTTAAGTTCATCTTCTTCCAGGAGAAAGAAGGAAATGTGGCTGCTAAATGTCACTTATCCATCGTGATTCTCATACAGTAAATATGATCACATGTTGTGGCATGCTGAGCCTCCTACAAGCATTTTGCTGTGGGATGACACTCKCACTGGGGCTGGGGGTGTCACAGAGGCGCCTTCCATCCCCAGAATGGAAAAGTCCTGWGCTCATATGGCCATCAGGAGGGTTCCAATGTGGGCGCCCCTCAGGCTTCCTCCCTCTGCTTAAGTCCAGCCAGCTGCGAAGTTTTCCCATCAGACTGTCATTCTGGACAGTCCTTCCCATCTTAGGAACTCCCTTGCCGCAACAGCTGCCTGACTTTAGCTGCTCTTTGTCCTCTAGGATCTCCCATAAACTCTGAGGTCTGTGTCCCAAAACAGGCAGTGAGATAAATTGCCAGGGTGAAGCGAGTAGACTCACTGCACTCTTCCTAGTGTGAGAGGCTGGGG